TCAAATTGTATCCAAACCATAGCAAAAACCTATCACTTATCCTTAAAATATTTCCTGGCAACCAGCTGGGCAGTATTATCGCATTTAGGAGGTGAAGGACTTGAGGCCCAGAGAGACAAAGGCCTGGTCTTGGCTCACTCAGCTACCAGGAGTTTTTGCGGGAAGTCCACATGCTATTCTGTACTCTGGCACCTTCTTAGTTAAACAGCCCTGTTTAACTAAGTCTGTGCACTGTTAAGCCACTGTTACTCATCAATCCCAAATGAGCCACCTGTTTTCAAAGAAGAAATTCTGTACACACAACCCTGGAATTGTGCTAGAGAGAATATACTCACCCTCTGCAATGAGTTTCCATATGTAAATAGGCATAGTCATACTTGGAGAGGCGTGCTCAGGCCACACAGCCTAAAATAGAGCTCCCAGCACTAAAAGCCTCCACTGTTTGGGGAAAATGAAAAAACCCATTTGAAAAATAAACACAGGGGATATTGCCAGCATTTATTATAGGAAATGTTCAAGATCCCATCTTGAGATTGGAAGCAAAAGCATTCTTTGAATCTTCTTTTCCTTTTTTATAATCATGGGAAAATTTTATCTTCCAGTTATGGAAAGTCTAGGGGTGAGTTGGGTCACTTCTTAACTCCAGAAGGCTAAATCACAGGGAAACACTTTTAGGATAGCATACCTGAGGCCGTTTGGCCTCATTGCCCTTGTGCTATTTGGGGAGTTAAGACTTAACAGCTTAGCAACAGGGGCATTGAGTTGCTGAATGGATCTGCGCTGGTTCATAGCAGGCAATGAGGGCCAAGTTACAGTTTCTAGTTGGCTGAGAAGTAGCACCAAAGCTGGAACAAAGGTTTTCCACGGTGCTGCAGGGCTGTGGGTTTCGGGGATAGTCACTAGTAGGAGGTAGGGGGCAGTGAGAGGTGGCAGTCAGACATGTGCAGTATGATTTTTAGCCAGGCTCCTTCGTTTTCTGGAGCGTCAACACTATCCTCTGTAAAATTGAAGATGTACACGAGACATTCCCAACCCACCCTTTCCTTTTTTCCCCTCCCACCCATTCTCCTTCCATGGCCTCACCATCCCAAAAGAAAATCAAGAACAAGAAGAAAACAGCTGGTTATGGTGACACAGGCCTGTAATCCCATCAGTTTGGGAGGCTGAGGCAGGAGGCTTAGAGTATAAAACCCGTCTCAGCAACTTAGCAAGAACCTGTCTCAAAAAAAAAAAAAAAGTAGAAAGGGTTGGGATATGGCTCAGTGATTAAGCACCCCTGGGTTCATCCCCCAGGACCCCCCCAAAAAAAATAAAAAATAGAAGGAAGGGCAGCAGGGCCAGGGGCTAGGAAGAGGAGAAAACAGACTGAAACCCTTGGTAACCTGAGCAGATGAACAAAATAGAATTGTATTTCCAACAGAATCTCCTTGTTCTGGGGAAATACACATAGTACTTGGTTTCTTCAACTTACTTTGAAATTATTTAGAAAACTCAATGTGTATTTATTTAGAGAAAGAAAATATAAGCAAATGATAACAATTGGCAAACCTGAGCAAAGGGTATCTAGTTTTTTTGAACCATTCTTGCTATTTAAAAAAATATTTTAAATAAATACAGCATCACCAAACAACTCTTTTGAATATACAGTGGCATTGACAATTCACATAGTGTGCAGCCATCACCACCATCCATCTCCAGAACTTTTCTCTTCTTGCAATACTGAAACTGTACCCACTAAATACTAACTCTTCATTCCCCACTTCCCCCAGCTCCTGGCATCCACCCTTTTACTTTCTTTTTTTTAATATTTTATTTTAGTTATAGTTGGAAACAATACCTTTATTTTTATGTGGTGCTGAGGATCGAACCCAGGGCCTTGCTCACACTAGGCGAGTACTCTACCACTGAGCCACAACTCCAGCCCTCACACTTCTATTTTCTGTCTCCAGAAATTTGATTACTCTAGGTACTTCATGTAAGTGAATCATCGTAGTACTTGTTTTGTTTGTGACTGGCTTATTGACTTAGCATGATATCTTCAAGGTTCATCCACATTGTAGCATGTGCCAGAATTTCCTTCTTTTTATAGCTGAATAATATTTCATTGTATGGATTAACATATGTTTTAGCCATTCATCCGTTGATGGACATTTGAATCACTTCCATTTTGGTGCTATTGTAAATAATGCTCCTAAGAATGTAGGTGTACTAATAGCTCTTTGAATTTTCCATTCTTTTGGGTGTATACCTCACAGTGGAATTGCTAGCTCTTATGGTAATTCCATTTTTAACTTTTTAAAGGAACTACCAAAACAACTATCATTGTCGCAATTTTAAATGTAAAATTATTTTAAAACAAAATTACAACCAAAAAAAAGAAAGAAAATAAGGGAAGCTAGTGTGGATATACATTAGTATATTTATTGGCTCTAGTTGACTTTATAATTAGGTGATAATTGACTTTTAAATTTGGCAATCAACTCCATAGGCAGTGAAAAGGGAAACATTGTTTCATTAAAAATAAGACCATAACAAGCAAAAAATGGAGGAAGTCAATATGATTTGTTACATGCCCTAGCCATGATGATTATAAAATCTTTTTTTTTTTTAGTTGTAGTCAGATGCAATACCTTTATTTATTTATTTTTGTGTGGTGCTGAGGATCAAACCCAGGGCCTTGCACGTGCTAGACAAGTGCTCTACTGCTGAGCCACAACCCCAGCCTCCAAAATCTGACTTGTATACACCTATTAGAGTGGCCAAAATCCAAAACACTGACAATACCAATGCAGGTGAGGATGTGGAGAGACAGGAACTCTTACTCATTGATGGAAGATTGTTTTCAGTTTCTTATAAAACAAAACACATTCTTGCCGTGTGAACCAGCAGCCATGATACTTGTTTTTCAAAGGCCTCAAAATCTTAAGTTCACACAAAAACCTGCACACAAATATTTACAGCAGCTTTATTCTTGGTTTTTTTTTTTTTTTAGAGAGAGAGAGAGAATTTTGATATTTATTTTTTAGTTTTCGGCAGACACAACATCTTTGTTGGTATGTGGTGCTGAGGATCGAACCTGGGCCGCACGCATGCCAGGTGAGCGCGCTACTGCTTGAGCCACATCACCAGCCCTGGCAGCTTTATTCTTGATTGCCAAAACTTGGAAGCAGCCAAGATGTCCTTCAGGAAGTGAGTGGATAAACTGTGGGACATTTAGACATTGGAATGTTGCTCAGTGCTAAAAAGGAATGAGCTATCAAGCATGAAAAGAAATGGGGAGAGTTAAAAATGCATATTCATAAATAAAAGAAGCCAAATTGAAAAAGCTACATATAGTTATGTCCAACTATATGGCATTATGAAAAGATAAAACTATGGAGACAGCAAAAAGATCAGCGGTTGCCAGGGATTAAGGGGAAGGGAGGGATGACAGAGGAAGCTTAGAGGATTTTTAGGGCAGTGAAACTACTTTAATACTCTAATGGTGAGTATTATGTTTGTCTAAACACTTAGAATGAACAATATTAAGAGTGAACTCTATCTGAGTGATGATGTGTCCATGTAGGTTCCTCAAATGTATCACCCTGCTGAGGGATGTTGGTAATGGGGTAATGCTGTACACATAAAGGGACAGAGAGTATATAGGAATTCCACCACTCAATTTCTCTGGGAACCTAAAACTACTCTCAATAATAAAACCCATTGCCAGGCACAGTGACACACACCTGTAATCCCAGTGGCTCTGGAGGCTGAGGCAGGAGGATCACAAGTTCAAAGCCAGCCTCAGCAACTTAGTGAGACCCTAAGCAATTCAGCAAGTCCCTGTCTCTAAATAAAATATTAAAAAGGGCTGGGAATGGGGCTCAGTGGTTAAGTGCCTTGGATTCAATCCCTGGTAACAAAAAAACAAAAACACCTATTAAAAAACAAAACAGAAGACTGGCTTTGAGCTTCCTGATGGTCAAGGCAAAAAAAAAAAGAAGAAACAATTTTTCATTATTAGAAAGGAGAAATGTGCTGAGTCCCTCGAGAATAACAAAGTTTTTCTCACCCCATGAAGTTGGGGAAGTTTTTCTTTTCTACCCTCTTTCTAATGTGCCTCCTATTCAATTTACTGTACTCTTCCCTTCTTTGCACCTTAAATTAGATACCTTAAATTAGGGGTTTGCTTATCTCCTTGTCTCTGAACTTCTCAGCCTCACTTCTCCTGACACCATGGAGTTGATATCTAGAGAGGTGGGCTGTGGGTGAGTGCTGTTCTGCTCGCTCCCTCTTTGAAGACTGGTTCAGAGGAAGGCAGTGGACTTGTGGTCTTTCAGCTTAAAAACACTGATCACCTGACTTTTTGCCCGACACCTTGATAAGGCTTCAGTAGCTGCTGCTGCTCTCCAAGCTTTGTGATGCCACCCCACCCCACCCCCCAAAAAAAAGAAAAAGGATGACATGAATAAAGATGCTGGAAAGTTGGCCAAGAAAAACAAGGACCCAGTGAACAAATATGGGGGCAAAGCCAAAAGGAAGAAGTGGTCCAAAGGCAAACTTCGGGACAAGCTCAACAATCTAGTCTTGTGTGACAAAGCTACTTATGACAAACTCTGTGAGGAAGTTCCCAACTCTAAGATTATTACCCCAGCTGAGAGACTGAAGATTCTAGGTTCCCTGGCCAGGGCAGCCCTTTAGGAGCTCCTTAGTAAAGGACTTACAAACTGGTTTCAAAGCACAGAGCTCAAGTAATTTATATCAGAGATACCAAGGGTGGCGATGCCCAGCTGCTGGTCAAGATGCATGAACAGGACCAATCAACAGTACATTTGGAAAACTAAAACTTTATTAAAAACAAAAACAAAACCCACTGATCACCTGTGTTGATATTGGTCCAAAGCTGAGGCCATCTCTTGCCCCAAGCAACTTCCTATCTTGAAATAGAAACATTTAGGAAATCCATTCTGTCATAACTTAACTCATGCTACTGTTAATGACTTTTCCTTCTTGTTTTATAGGTGGACATGGGGAGGAACTGCTCATCACTCTTCTGGAAGCCTCCTTCCAACTAAACCAGTCCCTTTCCTGCCCTTTTGTCTGATTATAGTGACATAACAGAGCCATGATGGTTGTTTCTCAGGGATTCTAGACTTGGGCTATGCTCCCCAGACCAGCTATGTGGCGTTAGGCAAGTGGCCTCTCTGCCTCAATTTTCTCATCTGTAATATGGGAATAATAAAAGCTCTGTTAGTCCATGTAAAGCACTGAATTCAGAGTTGACCTCATAAAGCAGAGGCCTGGAGTGGGAGGATCAGGAGCATAAAGGGACAAAAAGGATACAGATAATAGGTCTGTGAAAACTGTCCAGGGATGAAGTTGAAGCATCCTGGGTGTTCTGGCATTTCTCAGTTTAAAAGATGACAGCTGCGGAGCACTTGCACATATTAAAGGCTCTCATCAGTGAATCATCCTGCATTTGTACTTTGCTCAGTTATTGTACCTGCCCTCATCTGCTTTGATGATCACTAATGCATGGTATCCTCCTCCTCTCTGAGGTAAGAGTCCTGGAGCCTGTTGGCTGCTTGCCTGTTCTCCTCCCTTCACCCCAGTGCTTGTTCTCTGCGTCTCTCTTGATCTTCAGCCTTTAGGTTCCTGGGTATCTCCCCGAGACAGGGAGGCCTAAGGGAACTGCAGAACTCAACCTAAAACTTAGGTGATTCCAACCAGAATAACTCCACCCAATAGATGTGCTCTGGGGAGAAGGAGTTGCTTAGGATTTAGAGAGAGCACAGAGTCAAACAAAATCCCCGCTTCAAGAAGCTTATGTGCTGGATCAGTGGTGAAGGAGCACAGGCAAGAAATATGCAAGAAGTATCAGGGTAAGTGGAAGATGGAGGTGGGTTGGAGTTAACTACTTGGTAAAGGGCAGTCAGAGAAGTCTTCCCAAGAACATGACCTTGGTATGTACACCAGAGAGGAAATGAGCCATGCTGATACCTGGACAATGTTCCAGTAGAGAGAAACCATGCTCAGCATGGCTAATAACTGTAAGAAGGCTAATGTGGTTAGAATGGAACCAAAGGAGGTAGAAATGGAAAGGAGACAGAGTAGAGGAGTACTGAGGGTTATGTCACTATCACAGAACGGAATCCTTTAGAAACTTCTTTGCCAAGAAATAGTAGGCTCTGACCAGGAAACCATTTGCATTAGATTTTTGTTGTTGTGACAAAATACCTGAGGAAAATAACTTAGAGGAGGAAAGATGTATTTTTTATTTTTATTTTATTTTTTGGTTTGTTTATATATATATATGACAGTAGGGTATATTTTGACATATTATACATACATAGGATATAATCCATTACAATTTTGATCCCATTCTGTGGTTGTACATGATGTGGAGTTACACTGGTTATGTATTCATATATGAACATAGGAAAATTATGTTCAGTTCTGTCTAAGCTTTCCTATTTCCATCCCCATCCCTTCCCTTCATTCTCCTTTGTTTAATCCAATGACTTTTCTTCCCTTCCCACCCCCTGTTGTGTGTTAGCATCTGCATATCAGAGAGAATATTTGGCCTTTGGTTTGGGGGATTGGCTTATTTCACTTCGCATGCTCCATTTCCATCTATTTCCCCACAAATGCCAAAAATTTCATTCTTTATGGCTGAGTAATAGTCCATTGTGTAATAGTCCTTTTTTAATCCATTCATCTGTTGAAGGGCACTTAGGTTGGTTCCATAGCTTAGTTATTGTAAATTGAGTTGCTATAAACACTGATGTGGCTGCGTCACTATAGTATGCTGGTTTTAAGTCCTTTGGGTATATGTCAAAGACGGGATAACTGGGTAAAATGGTTACTTCATTCCAGGTTTTCTGAAGAATCTCCAAACTGCTTCCCAGAGTGGTTTGCACCAATTTGAAGTCCCCCCAGCAATGCATGAGTCCACCTTTTTCTCCATATGTTCGGCAACATTCTTGATAATTCTTGATAATTGCCATTCTGACTGAAGTGAGATGGAATCTCAGTGTAGTTTTAATTTGCATTTCTCTAAGTGCTAGATATATTGAACATTTTTTCATAAATTAGTTACTATTCGTATTTTTATTTCTTCTGTCAAGTGCCTGTTTGGTTCATTTATTGATTGGGTTATTTGTTTGTTTGTTTGAGTTCCTTATATATCCTGGAGATTAATGCTCTCTCTGAGGTGCAGATGGCAAATATTTTCTCCCATTCTGTAGACTTTCTCTTCATATTGTTAATTGCTTCCTTTGCTGTGAAGAGACTTTTTAATTTGATACCATTCTATTTATTGATTTTTTTTTTTGTACCGGGGATTGAAATCAGGGGCAATCGACCACTGAGCCACATCCCCAGCCCTATTTTGTATTTTATTTAGAGACAGAGTCTCACCGAGTTGCTTAGCACCTCACTTTTGCTGAGACTGGCTTTGAACTCGAAATCCTCCCACCTCAGCCTCTGGAGCCCCTTGGATTAACAGGCATGTGCCACCACGCCTGGCTCATTTATTGATTCTTGCTTTTATTTCTTGTGCTTTAGGAGGCTTGCTGAAGAATTTGGTACCTAAGCCAACATGATGGAGAGTTGGACCTACATTTTCATCTAGTAGGTGCAGGGTCCCTTGTCTAATGCCTAGGTCCTTGATCCACTTTGAGTTTTGTGCAGGGTGAGAGAGAGGGGTTTTATTTCATTTTGCTACACATGGATTTCCAGTTAGGAAAGATTTATTTTGGCTCAAGTTTCAGAGGTTTCAGTCCATGATCAGCTGGCTCCATTTCTTTGAGCCTAAGGCAAGGCAGAGCATTATGGCAGAAGGCTGTGGCTGAGGAAGGCTACTCACCTTATGGCAGCCATGAAGGAGAAAGAAGGGAAGGGGCCAGGAAGAAGATGAACCTTTTCAGGGCATGACTCCAGTAATCCACCTCCTCCAACCAGGCCCCACTTTCCAGTTTCCATCACTTTCCAATAGTGCATTCAATTATGATCCATCAATGAATTAATCCGATGATGAGATCAGATTCCTTATAATCCAGTCACTTCCCCAAAAACCCACCTCTGAATATTGCTATATTGGGGACCAAGCCTTCAATACCCGACCTTTAGGGTAGATTCCAGAGCAAAACTATAACACTACTGCAATAAATTAAGTAGGGGATTGTGGATCATCTAAAATATATATAATGAGAACTGAGTTTTCTGCTACTTCACCCATCTAATCTCATCCCACAGAAATAACCCAATTAGCCACTTGGTACATAATCTTTCCAAAAGCTTACATACTCATAATCCCTCTTTGCATTTATTTTTACCAAAACATTATGCTATATCACTGCTAGCTGATAGAATTTCTGCAATGATTGAAATATTCTATACCTGCATGTTTACTAGTCACATAGGGCTACTGAGTTCTTGAAGTGTAGCTAGTGTGAATTTAAGGTCTGAATTTTTAATTCTGAGTAATTTTTATTTAAACAGTCATCACACTGGCTAGTGGCGACCATAAAGGATAATACAGTGTTATACACATTTTGGGGTTTTACTTAACAGAATATAACAGACATTTTTCTTTTCTTTTTTTTTAATATAATTTATAAACTTTGAAATGATGTCACTTAGAAAAAGATGGTGTCAGAGTACAAAATATTTTTTCCTGAATCATTTGAGAGTAAGTTGTGACCTAATGTACCATTGCAATCTAAATTGTTTCATGTTTATTTCTTTCAAATGAGTATATTCTCCTGCATAGCTGCAATATAGTCACTAAGATCAGGAAATTAACAATACATTATGACCATCTAATCCTCAAATCCCATTCATATTTTGCCAGTGGTTCCAATAATGTCCTTTATAGCAAAGTTTACAATCTTGCATTGCATTTAGTAGTCGTGTCTCTTTGGTTTTCTCTAATATAGTTCTCAATCTTGCTTTGATGTTCATGACTTTGACACTTTTCAAGATTACAGGCCAGCTATTTTGTAGAATATCCTTCAATTTTGATTCATCTGATGTTCTCCCATGATTAGATTTAGTTTCTGCATCTTTGGTAGAAAACTGCAGAAGTGATTTTCTTCTTTCACTGCATCTTATCAGATGGCACAGGACTTGTTTTATCACTTGTGATATTAACTTTGAATGTTGTATTAAAATCGTATCTCCAATGTCTTTTTTCTTTTTTGAACCAAGGATTGAACTCTGGGGCCCTTAACCACTGAGCCACATCACTGGCCCTTTTTTATTATGATACAGGGTCTTGCTAAGTTGTTGAGGCTGGCTTTAAACATGTGATCCTCCTACCTCAACCTTCCAAGCCTCTGGTATTACAGGCATACCCTACCGCACCTGGCTATTTCCAGTGCCACTGGAACTTCTGGTGTCTCCAATGTTAAGTTGCTCTTGTTGCTTATTTCTTTTTAAAACATTTTAAAATTTATTTTAACTATGATAAAAACACATAGCATTACCATTTTAGCCATTTTAAGTGTTAAAGTTCATGATATTAAGAATATTAACATTATTGTACAACAGATCTCTAGAACTTTTTCGTCTTGCAGATCTGAAATTCCATATCCAATTCTTTCCCTTCTCTGATGTTAGTGATGTTAAGCATCTTTTCATATGCCTGCTGGCTATTTCTAAGCCATCTTTGGAAAAAAAAATGTCTATTCAAGTACTTTGCCCATTTTGTTGTTGAGTTATGAGTTCTTTATATATTCTGCATATTAACTGCTAATCAGATATGTAATTTATCAACATCTTCTCCATTCCTCAAGTTGTCTTTTCACTCTGTTGATTTTGTCCTATGCCCTTTAATAAGTATTTTGTGAGATGGTACTTTGAAAAACACCTCCTTTCTCATCAAACTCTTCAGTCATCCATTTATTTATATCAGAATGCGACTTACAACTTCCTGTTTTATTCTATGTGTTATAATTTGTATCACTATTTAAATTGTTTCTACATTTTGATGTTAAATTGTCGGATTTGGCCAATGGAAGTCACTTTATGCTGGCTTCGTTCTTCAGATATGTACCCATCATCCTTTGAGCTCTTTCTTGTTTTCTTCCACAAGATATTATAGAACAATCTTGTACTTTTCCTCACCCTAGAATTAGCCATTTTTACAAGTCCATTCTTCCTTTTAGTAGAGAATGGCACTTAGAAGCTTCTGGTCCTGAGGATTACCTCAGTAACAGTGAGTAAACAGGGAAAAGCCCAGTGCCGAATCCCCGCCCCTCAGTGAGGCACGGGAAATGTGGCATTCAGAAGACCCACTCCACAGCACCGCTCGTGGGGGGCCCAAGCCCTTCTGATCGAGGCCCAGCCCGTGGACCATGTGAGGCCTGTAGTGGCCCGGGCGCACTGGGCCAGGGTCTTCTCGGAGTCGGGTTGCTTGGGAATGCAGCCCAAAGTGGGTGGTAAACTCCATCTAAGGCTAAATACCGGT